CTTTGAGGGACCTTGGAGTTAGCCAATATCATATAACCCCCTAATAAGCCCAATATTACCCTATTGTGACCCATTATAAGTAGGTTACCTTACCCATTAGTAACTCCAGGGTCCCTCAAAGTAGAGTTGTGGTTTGGATGTTGTTGACCGTTCGAAAGGCCTTGTATCCGCCCAGATGTTCTATCTTTTTGTTACTTGGCATCTCAAAATTAGGGGTACATTTTGGTAGGTCCCCCTAAATAAGAATTAAGATATTGTTTGATCTATATTGGGGTCTCATTGTGTCGGGAACTTGTTGAGACTACCCTTTCAACATCAGCACGAGCTGCATCATCATGACCCCCTGGATCTGTGAACTTCTAGTGCCTTTGCGTATCGCGTGCAGGGCCAACAATGTAAAAGCACCCTAAACCCTAAACCCCCCATAACCCTAAACTTCTGGGTTGGCCCCTAAAACCCTTTGAAAAATGTTGGTATATAGGGTCCCTTATTAAAGCCATTAGGGAAAATATTAAATATCCCAGGGGCCTACACAGACTTCCTTGACTAACAACATCAACTGGTCCGGCGGATTGCCTGCAGCATCACGCATGCGGAGTCGGAACAGGTCACTGGGACATGGCACTTTCCTTCTATCTGCACCCCAAACATGATCCCCAAGAGGCTATTTGTAGTTTCCACGTTCTTTCCATTCTTCCCTCTATACAGATACATAACCCCAATCTCTACCCCCATGGTTACCGAACATGATACCACAATACCCTACACACTAAAAACTACACCCTAAACCCCTAAACCCTAAACCCTTAAACCCTAACCCCTAAACCTGAAACCCTATACCATTCTGCCATGAGGTCATCATCTCTCCCGGCGCCTCGTCTGTGTCTACGGTGTAGGAGGCTTGTGGAGGAATAAAGGTGAAGGCATTCCTGGCCAAGTGAGTAGTCTATGGGGTTTAGGGTTTAGGGGTTTAGGGTTTAGGGTTTAGGGTTTCTCCGGTTTAATAACCCCCATCATATAGGTTTAGGGTTTAGGGTTTGGGGTCTAAACTCCAAGTCTCCCCCGCAATTACCTATATAAACTCCCTTTAAGGAGTTTAGACTCTGGCTCAAGTGAATGGGGCACGGCCGTCATTGTTGGTAGGGATACGGAAACGCAATAAACCATCATGACGAGAATGTAGACAAGAGAAGCATCCGCTTTGACAATTCTAAACTGGGTTGGCCCCTAAAACCAATTGAAAAATATTAGTATATAGGGTCCCTTACTAAAGCCATTACGGAAAAATATTAAATATCGCAGGGGCCTACCCAGTAAATGCGACAACCTCTGCAGATTGGTCGATGCAGGCAGATCTATGCCTACAGCAGAAGGACTAAGCAGCCTGCTTCCATCAAATACCAGTAGGTCTAGCTCCACTGCCGGTCCACACGGCACTCATGCGCTGAAGGGAGCTCGTTGGAAGGCGTGCCTGACTTTCTCCGCATCGCAGCCCTGTCAGGAGTTTCTATTCAGATTTGAATGATTCGGGCTTACCGGTGCGCATTTCCAAGCACAATTTGCCTGTACTTCACAGTTTGCGCCACATGGCCAAAAAACAAAAGGAACTGTTTACACGTCCCCTTGGCAGTTGGAATGTACTTCGCTAGAAACTCGTTGACCAAGCTTTGGTACTCATTGTGCAGGAAAAAGCTTCCCCGGCAGAAACTCAAAGGATGCAGCTATCAATACTACTCTTACTCCTATGACATTGTACTCTTATTACTTTTTATTGTTCCTATTACTATTATTAATTACTTCTATAAACCCTAAACCCTAAACCCTAAACCCATTACCTATATTCCTCTTATTACCATTACGTCTCTTATTACTCGTATTAGTACTGGCTCAACGCGGCCTTGCAGCAAAAGAAACAGCCGATGGACGTTGAGGCCACACAGTTCGAACCTGCCATAACTCAGAGGGGTGTTTAGGGTTTAGGGTTTAGGGGTTTCCCAAAATTATGGGCCCCTTTTGGCTCGGGAGTGTTGCATGGCACCCTAAGATTTAGGGGTACCAAAATGGTACCCTAATTTGGGTAATTGCCCATAGGATTCTTATTCATGTGGTGGAGTAGGGCTTGAGATTCGTTTGACAGAAAGCCGAATGTCCCATGCGGCTGAGCGGGGTTGCTCTTCAGAAACTTAAACAAGCTACTCACCATGAGGAAACCCTATGATTTACTATATACTCATATCATGGTAACTTAATTTAAGTTCCTTAAATCCCTATATTCAATATTCCCCCAGTTGCCATTTCACTTTCCATGTTCTGTTCCATTTGATTCTCCATTATAGGGGGATACCCCTAAACCCTAAACCCTAGCGGGGTACTATATACCCATTATGGTAACTTCATTTAAGTTCCTCAATAGCAACCCAGGCCGAAGCAAGCCCTGGCGCACCCATGTCGCCAACGAAAAATTGCGAGCGAAAACTCCAAAACGAACAGCTCTGCTCTACCCTGTTGGACGACTCTCTGTGTGGCTGGATACTTTTTTGGGGGTCCTTATAATAGTTCAAAATACTCGTAAGAATGGATTGGAGTCTATATTGGGCCCCCCCTATGTAGGTTGTTCTTTCTTCCTTGCTGGGCTACAGACTTGGCGGACGTGCGCCCTGCATGAGCTCTACGTGAGCTGCTTGAGCCGTGTGGCCTCGTTGCGCGCTCAGGAAGAATACATGGGAGCAATAGTCTAAACTCCTAGAATCCCCCTTAAGAACCCCTATAATACAGGGTTTAGGGTTTAAGGACTAAGCTCCTAATATCCAACCCCTATAATACAGGGTTTAGGGTTTAGGGTCTAAACTCCTAGCATCCCGCTTAATAATTCCCATAGTATAGGGTTTGGGGTTTATGGTTTAGGGCTCAGGGTTTGGGGTTTAGGGTCTAAACTTCTAGTATCCCCCTTAAGAACCCGTATCATGTAGGGTTTAGGTTTTAGGGTCTAAACTCCGAGTGTCCTCCAATGGAAAATAAAATGGAAACTACAATAATGAATAGGTGTATATAGGGATAATGGGAAAAACAAAATGGAAACTACTATGTATGATAGGCTATTTCTTTCGAGCACGTCAACGAGACATGGCAAAGGTAAGTACAGCACAAGGAGGAAAAGATCAACAACAGCCAGTGGAATCAGTCAGAACTGTAGAAGCTGAATAATACTAGTAATCATGATAATGAGAATAGTAGTTGAAATACGATTGATAGTAATTTTAGTAATTTTCTCAAAGCAATAATAATAGACCACTCCCGGAAACTAACATGGAAACCCAAAAAAGGGCCCTGTAAAGACTATAGTCGCTCTAAAAGGGGACTATGTGGGACCCTAAACCCTAAACCCTAAACCCTATTCCATGTTAGTTTGGGGGAGTGTAATTGCTTTGGATCTCTTTTTCCGATCCCCAGAGGTGTCGGAGTCTGAAGGCCCTACTTTGGGACCTTAACGGCTCTACGCGAGCCGTGTGGTTGCAGGAAAGTCTTAAGCACCCTAATCAACATCTGACTATATTATACTACATTATCTATAGTATATCATATTTCTGCTACGTTATACTATACTATACAACATATTACTATGATACATTATATGTGTGGTTGTCAAAATTATGGTCCCTTTTTTGGATCCCCATTAAAATACGGCACCAAATATCTAGGGTACCCAGAAATGGACCGAAATTTTGACAACCGCCGATATGAGCTATCGTCTAAGCTCCTAGTCCCCAACATATAATTGTCCCCTACATACTCCCCTATATGACTCCTTTTGAGGAGTTTCGACTATAGCTCACTTAACAGTCCAACAAATGACAACCGTAGCAACTAGCATATCTTGCATTGACAAGATACAAGATGATACTGCACCAATTACAACCGGATTGGAGCAACGGCCTTTGCCCTAACGTTGACCCACGCAAGCTCAAAGAGCTGAAGGCGGACTCAGGAGGAAGTTCGCAAAGTCCTGCATGCTGCTATGATCGCCAATCGCAAAAGTTTGTGAGATGAGGCTTAACTATTTCCCACTTGCAATCCTCAAAGGGCAGACAGACACAGAAAACGTGTTCCCACAAATTGCGGATGCCAACTTTAGTTGCTCATTGCATTCCCCGCAGTTTCACGGGCCTCAACGGTATCGAAGTATTGCGTGCACTCCCGCCGCATGTAGTCCTGGGGACACGGCTAACACGCTGGCTGAAATCGGATAGCGTCATGCAGAGGGGCTTCCTCGCAGTGCTCAGCCCTAAACCCTAAACCCTAAACCCCAAAACCCTAAACCCTAAACCCAATTCCTACAAGCTCCTTTGCAAAATCTTGAATCCAAGAGCCCCAAGAGGTCGCCTGCTCTCTAGGCGGCACTTCGTAGTGTAGTGGAACTGAGCCAATGCATTCCAGCAAGTTACCTACAAGCCAAGGCATAACTCTCACTCCCTCAGTCCGAAGACTAATGTTGAATCCTGATAAGTGTGGGGGCCCCCATACAAAAAAGAAGCCCCCAAAACAAGTTTGGGGGGAAGAGAACTCCTTCGGCTCCTACTAAGCCTTTCGCAAAGAATTAATTATAGGGACGCGGAAGGGAGGATCTTAGTTTAGAGGCCTGATCTAATAAGCGCATTGAGAAGACATGGATGATCGATGGTTTCTGGTGGCATCCGATTCCAGATTCCAGGGTAACAGCGCCTGGCCGTCATATTTAAAAGGCTGCTTAGCCACCGAAATCATTTGCGCCATTGAGTTTCAGGGCCCTGCTGGACTAACCCCCTGTGGAATTTGTTTGACTGCATGGTCTGATCGAACAAGTGGTCAATGGGACATCGGTGGCTTCTGACGGCATCAGATTTCAGATCCCAAAACCTGAGCATTTGGAAGCAATAGAGCATGGCAATTGTGTTTGAAAAGGTCTGCCGACGGCTTTCTGGCCTCGTCAATCACCTTCCCCACAATTTCTTCGTGCAGAAAAAACTGCGTTTTCAAAGACCCGCCCAAGAAGGAATAGGGCAGGGGTCACTGAATATTGCAGAGAAGAGCGCTACTTTATTGGGTGCCCCGCACTGGCCCTAGACTGCCTAGACTCAACCCTAAACCCAAACCCAAACCCCAAACAATGAACGCTTGCCAACCTTGTTCCCTACTACATATGCCCCATATACCATAGTAGTTTCCATTTTCTTTTCCATTATCCCGATACATAACCCCAACCTTAAACCCTAAAGCCCTACATAACCCCATTATAGTAAGTAGTTTCCATTTTCTTCTCCATGAACCCTAAACCCTAAACCCTAAGCCCTAAACCCTAAAGCCTATATAACCCCATGATAGTAGTTTCCATGTTATTTTCCATGTTTCCTATATAACCCCCAATATCTTCCCTGAAAGAATTCCCTAAACCCTAAACCCCTAAACCCTAAACCCCTAAAACCCTAAAACCCTAAGCCCCTAAACCCCTAAACCCCTAAGCCCTAAATCCTAAACCCCTGAGCCTGGATCGGCTGCACCGAATGTCCCCAGCCCGCGGCGACCGCCGTCAGTCCGACGGCTTTTGCCATCTTCACCTCCAAGGGCTCCAAGGGTTTTAGGGGTTTAGGGCTTTAGGGTTTTAGGGTTTAGGGTTTAGGGTGGTTTAGGGTTGAGGGTTTAGGGGTTGAGGGTTATTGGGGTTATAGAAACTACTATAGTACACTGGGGATAAAGAGGGGGAATGGAAAAGATGACAACTACTATAGTATAATGGGGCATAGGCATGGAGACGATTCTGGGTTGCTGTTAGGGAACTTGAATTAAATTACCATAATGGGCATATACTAGTAATATGTACACTAGTATTTATACTGTTTCCCCTGTATAGTATTAAGGGCTCAAACAACTTGGAATTGTTTCAGGGAAAAATGTTGAAGATATAGAGGGATTGTGGAAAAGAAGAATGGAAACTACTATAGTGTAATTGGGTGTAGACATGGGGACGATTGGGTGCAGATAGGTGCAGAGTTCCGTGCTGGACACCAGATTGTGTGTTTGTGCAGTCGCTGCATCCAAATGCGCAGGGCAACAAACATCCAATACTAGCATCAAATTCAGCGACACCTGGGAAGAGTCCACCTAATTCCTTGCGGAGGCTGAATAACACTCGCCGTTTTGCGAATCCTTGCACGCATATCAGAAAGAAAGGCGCGCCGAATGTGGTCAAACTCTAACATCAGCTGTCGCAGGATTATAACCTTAGTTTCCAGTTCATGTTCCATGTTCTTTTCCATTTGATTCTCCATTATAACCCCAATATAATACCCTAAACCCTGAACCCTAAACCCTAAACCCTAATTCCTAAACCATATAATCCCCCCCCTTTTTCCACCCCTCAGGCCAACCAGGACTCGCAGCACGCTGTCCTGTAGCTTTTTGCAGTGCCCCCTGGCCTTGAAACCGTTTAAGGCCAAGGGGCTTGGCTTGCTAAGGGCCCCGAGGCCAAGACTTCCCTAACATGAGCCCAAAGGGTTTAGGCCTTAGGGCCTGGGGGTTTAGGGGTTTAAGGTTTAGGCCTTAGGGCCTAGGGGTTGAGGGTTTAGGGTTTAGGGGTTGCAGGGCTTAGGGTTTAGGGGTTCAGGGCTTGGGGTTCAGAGTGCCTGGGCTGATCAGCTTTGTGTGATGGCAGTCCAGCAAATCATGGCATCCGTGTGTAGCTTTGTTCAAACCACGCCCATGTGCGCGCAAAGAAGGCCAACGCCATAGCCTGTTGCGTATTCGCCGAGAAAAGAAGGATAGTACATATCTACGTGTAGCCATCTTCCTTGATGGCCTGCATGCTTCAAATGCTTGTAGATGAAGAGTCCTGCGCAGGATGACTGAGCGTTGCCCCGATCCTTCACTGAGTTTTTCATGTCGGCAAACTCTGAGTCGAACTCCGACAAGAGTAGCTCCGGAGCAAAGAGACCCGGGTGTGCACCCTCACCAGACTTGCGACCCGCATCAACAACCTCGTTCTCCAAGCCTTGGTCTGTTGCAAGGATTGTGGAGAAGTGTTTACCAGTGCTGATGGCCTGTGCGCCTGTCAACGTGGCCATGTCAACAATGAGCTCTGCACGGAGATCCTTCGCAGCATGCGCCACACCATCCGCTAAGACCAATCGACCCTCAGCATCCGTATTGTTGATTTCAGAAGTGAGGCCGGAGTAGTGCAAGATGATGTCATCATTTAGGAACATGCCTGGACCGATGCCGTTCTCTGCGACGCATAGCACGCAATGCAGCGGGGCTCTGGTAGGCAGTCCACCACACTTCACTGCTGCCAACCAGGCGCCGAAGACGCCCGCAGCGCCTCCCATGTCACGCTTCATGCCGCACATCCCTTCACCTGGGTTTGTGGAAATACACTTAAAAACGGGCCCAGGTATCCATAAACATGTAAAATTCTGTTCTACAAGAGCCCAAGTCACGGGGTTTCAAAGCCGCACCTCCTGTGTCGTAGGTGATACCCTTCCCAACAAGTGCCACACCAACGGGAGGACCACTCTCCCTCTCCGACTCAGAGCCGGTAGGATTGTGTGTGAGCACGATTAGGCAAGGAGGTCTCTGATCCGCGCTTTTCCCCACGTTCCAGAGGCCTCCGTATCCTTTGTCCCGAAGCTCTGTCCCCTCGATGACGTTCGCTGTCACCTTCTCCAAAGTCTTTGCGGCGGCCAACACGAACTCCTTGAAGGTTACTGGCTGAATGAAATTGGGGGGCATGTCCACCAGACCTTGCGCAACACGAATCGATGTAGCCATGTGATTTAATTTCACCAACAGTGGTCCGGGCGGAGCACCATGAAAGCGTACAGTCGCATCGGCAGGGTTCGGGGTTTCAGCTTTGCTTGCGAATGGCGGCAAGCAACGGGCTACTGCAAGACCTGTCGCTAAGCGATTGTCCTCTGCCACGGCTATGACGATGTCCTTGCCACGTATTTTGCCTTGCATGTGCTTCGCAATGACGTCAGGGCGGGCTTTGCACACCACGCGGCTTTGTGCTTGCGGAACCGCAAGCAAGGTCACTGTGCGAAACTCTTCACCGATCAAGAAAGAGGCAACCTTTGTCGAGCCACTGTTTTCAACTTTTTTGGCCAAGGCATCCGCAGCTGCGGCCAAAACTGGGACGTTCAAAGCTTCAGCGATGTCTTTGGCAGCCTGTTGCAGCTCTGGAATGCTGCCGATGATCCACATGTCTCTACCCTCTTTTAGGGACGCTCCAAGCTTGCCAAGCTCTTGAAATTGAACCTGTTCCTTCGGGTGAAGAAGGACATCAATGACATCCTCAGCCGTATCTGGGCGAATCTTTTTAGACGGCTCCCACGCCTTCGCCATGGCAAGCCCCACAAGGACAACAGTCCGTGAATCTGACTAAGAGGAATGGCTACAGGTTGAAATGACTTCAGTGCGGCTACAGATGCGTATGCAAGTCAGTCTCTAAAGCCTGGAGCCCCCAATCGTGTGGACATCACATAGAAGGCAAGGCAAAGGCTTCGGCACCCCGGGGGAGAGATCATCCAGGACCAGCCCCTCCGCGGGATGGACATCGAAGTGCTCCAACCTTAAGCTGGGTTGCTGTTAAGGAACTTAAATTAAGTTACCATAATGGGGATATATAGTAAAGAATAGGGTTTCCCCAATATAGTAACTTAATTTAAGTTCCTTAAGAGCAACCCAGTTAAATCACAAGCAAAGCAACACAGAGCTAAGCAAAGCAATGCCAAGCAAGGCTACGCAAATATGCAGAGGGAACTGAGGGGTTGGAGTTTAGGGGCGTTGTGAGTTAGCCGCTACCATTTCCGCCCTTGCTTCGTGCCCTGCGCGAAAGCAGCTTGGGGAAACATCTGCTCAAGGCCGGATCCCTGTCTTTGAGGCAGGGAAATCAACTAAATTGCGCAAGGACTGCACTCGGAATATCATAGTAGCTCAGTACTGAAGGGCTTTCTTGGCGCTTGGTCCTTTGTCCGGGTCGGCACATCATGAAGCCCGTATCCAAACTCTTGAAATTTTGGGACTATGACGCGTCCACGACAAACCATTTTCAGACAGAGCTTGATGTGGTGGATGCATAGTAGACAAGGTATCTTACTTCCTGTCATGAGAACATTTCTAGAGACTGGAGACCCCGCAGGATGCAACGAGAAACAACTCCCCGATGGAAAAAAGGAATGAACGCCTGAGGGACACTACATCCTCTCCTAGTATGGGCCCTTAACCCTGGGATCCTTATATACCTACTATATACCCTATATGTACCCTCCAGAGTCCCTAAAAACCCCCTTAAAGGCCTAAGGGCCCATATTAGGGGCCCATACCTCTAACCTTAGGGAAAATTTATGCAACGGCAGATCTTGACTCCTAGTTCTCGTCAGGCGGCGCTTGCATGGCCGGCCACGGAGAGGGCTTCCGCTTAGCTGGATCCTGAGGAGAAACAGAGCAGCCTGTAAGGGAGGATGTCATCATTGCCGTGATATGAGGGGAATTAGGCAGCGGTACCCAAGAAAAGGAACGACAAAATTGAAGTGGTTTGCATGGTCGCATCTCTGTGCGCGACAACATGAGCAGCAATTTCTGAATGCGATCAGCACCGCTACGACTACCAGAGTCATCATGTAACGCATATCAGGGGCAGCACATGGCAGATTTGCCCAGACGCTCAATGGAATCACATGAAAGCTCAGCATGTCAGCTCCTTTTGCATAGTTTGATGCATCCCAACCCTAAATCCTAAATCCCAAACCCTCAATCCTAGATCCTAAACCCTAAACCCTGGGCAGGTCCTGGTCCCAACCCAAGACCAGGTCTGGCCGGATCTGCTCTGCCCAAGGATGCGCGTCGTAGTGGTGGCGTATGACATGCGCGGGGCTGTGGGAAACCACTGCCACACCTGGCAGCAGAATGCTATACCTATGGTAACATACGAGTTATGTAGGGATAATGAAAATCAAATGGAAACTACTATAGTATAATCAGGTATATATTGGGGTCATATAATATAGGGATAACGGAAAAGAGAATGGAAACTACCAAGTTACTATATTGTAAAGACGACAACGGCAAAGACCCTGTAAAGCCTCACTCAAAGCCAGTAGGGGAATGTGGTGCCCCGCACATAAGCAACACAATCATGAAACACAATCATGCTCAACAGGGGGGCCATGCACTAGCTTTTAGAAGCATCGCTATCTTGAGGGTCTCTATCGGTAGTTGTTGTTGTTCATGCTTGCGGAGCCCTGTCGCAGTGCATCGTCCCACCATGTTAGGTTCCATATGGCAACCCTAAACCCTAATCCCTAGACCCAAAAGCCTAATCCTTAAACCCCAAACCCTTATCCCTAAACCCCAAACCCTAGTCCCTAAACCCTGAACCAATGAGGCTCCTCAGCATGGGCAACGGCACAGACTCTCTGAATCACAGCAGGCAGACCATCTCAATCCCTCACTGCAGGACCTAAGTCCCCTTAAGTAAATAGAATATAGCTTTGGGTATCTTATAATAAGATCTCCATATATGCCATATTCTATCTACTTAAGGGGGACTATAAATCAGGCAAATGCATGTAGACCCGAATGCCATCAACCCTCCATCTCGATATAACCCCAATATATACCCTGTTATGCTATAGTAGTTTCCATTTTCTGTTCCATCATCCCTATATTCCCTAAACCCTAAGCCCTATATAACCTCATCATAGTAGTTTCCATTTACTTTCCCATTATCCCTACATGTAACCCCTCTATTGCCCTGAAAGGCCCTCCGTCCTGAAACCCTGCAGTGCCGGCAAGGCTCGACCACCCCTGGCCCGATATTCTTTCAGAAGCCTTGGCTTTTTGAGGGTTTTGTGGGATGTTGGATTTTAGGGTTTTAGGCTTTAGGGTTGTTGATTAGCTGGAAGTATACGAGCTATCTTCAGAAATCTCTAGAAAGGGAGCCTTGTTTGGGAAATATCCGGCGTCGCGTAGCAGTCTTAGGGTTCATTCGTTAAAAGTTCTCTTTTTGATTACATTTCAGATCGTGGACGGGGTCTATGCGGGCTTTGCGAGCCTGTACAGACTGCCCTGGCCTTTTGTGCTGTTCTTGTTTGCGATCCATAACATGGGATTATCTTGGGATGATGGAAGAGAAAATGGAAACTACTATAGTCTATTGTAGTTATGTAGGGATAATGGAAACGAAGATGGAAACTAATGTAGTCTATTGGGGTTATGTAGGGATAATGCTACTACAGTATAATATTCAGTCAACCCGCTAGGCGAATTCGCAATTGTCTTTCACATCCAGGCTCGTAGGGGATCGTCACAGTATCTCTCAGAGGCAACAATTTCTGTTCCCTACACCCTAAACCTCAAATATTGGATTCTGGAATACATGAGAGCATAGCCCTCTGAAGCTGCGGGGCCTGACTACTGCCTGATTTATAGTCCCCTTAAGTAGATAGAATATGGAGTAACTATATGAGCTACGGTCGAAACTCGGTATATAAGCTAATGGACGCCAA